ATCTAACTAGAATTTGCAGATATCTCCAACCACACAGAGCGCGCGCTTCGTCATGACTACCGGGCCGTTGTTAGGAGGCGAAGATGCTGATGGCTCAAAAAACACCGACCCGCTACCCGAGGCACCAATGCCAATATTCGCTAACATGGCAATTCAAGGTGGTAGAGGTTGGACCAAGAAAAATCAACCGGTCCATGAATCTATGACCATTGCTGCCTTGATAGCATCCAAGTTCCCAATATCCGAAGGAACGACATACAAAAACGCTCCCAAAGAGATCAAGGAGTTTCTCCGCGGTTGTGTTTGGAATGACGACCCAGGATGCCTATTATTCGAGCAGGACGCACATGACAATTACAAGCTTAGTGATGGAATCCAATGGGGAGCAGAGTACAAATCTGCAGAGGGGGGTCTAGTTGGCGGGTTCATTGGATTCATAACTCGCACTCCACAGCAAACCATTACAGGACGATCCCACTTTGGTGACTTGCAGTTCCTCCACGCCATGGCTGCGCAGGAAAAAGAAGAGCCCCAGGAAACCAAGTCAAAAATCATGATGTGGCTGGAAATCATGTACAAGCTATCAGTGGGCGACCAGGATATTCATGAGAACATGAGACTCGACCAAATCGATGTTTCCAGCTCCTCACAGTACCAACTTCGAATGTTTTTCAAGGAAGACACTTCTCCCAATGGCGCAGAGACCCTACGTGGGTTACTCACTCACAATACGCAGTATGAAGACACCATGATTTCACGCCGAGCATTGGGCAGCTGTTTCCATATCATCCAAGACTCTTATGCCAGAGGGCACGTTAGACGTTGGCCATTGAATGCCGGAGAACTCGAAAGTCACAGTATGTTATTCGCATGCTATCTTACAACGCATTCAATCTAACCCTATACAGTGCCCCTAAAGATGAAACCTGGCGTAGCAGATCGCTGGGGCAAGATAGAAAACTTCCACACCTACAGAGGCCAATCCTCAGACCATGGCCATTACGACCACAGCGACGTTCAAGTCGAAGAGTGGGGCAACCTTGGAGATTTGGACAAGTTCAATGGGATGATTGGAGTACGTGACGGTATTGATGCATGCATTACTCTGGCGAACTACTGGCATGATCGGGTTGCTTGGGAAAACGGAGTGCAGACATGGTTGAGGGATACTGTTTTCGCTCTTGCTGAAGATGTAACTCGGGCGAATCATGAAGTGTAATGGAGTGGTACGCTTGGTATTATGGATCTTATCACTACTTATTTTCAACGTTAGAGTTAAAGTCTTGAGTACGTACTACGTTTTATACACAACGTGCTTTGGTTGCAATTAATGTATCTTTCAAATAAGTATATATACAGCTGCATATAGTGAAGCCAAGTGCTTGGGAACACACTTCTACTACGATACAACACAGTATAAATCAACAGCGTTGTGCCTGCGTCTTATCACCAACACGTCAATCAAATCAATACACAACGTGCGTGAGAAGGAAAGAAAAGGAAAGAAAAGAAGAAGGGACTGAGTCCAACATAGGTTCAAGCTAGTGAGCCGTGTCGCCCTGAAACATGAACAAGTAGAACGACTTCCCATCTCTTCTGAATAAATTGAAATGTTGTACATTGGCAGCTCAAATACTCGTAGAGCTACACACTGTTCCGGCGCCCTTCCCTTTCCCATCGCTTCTAATCCTGCTTCGGGCATCATACATCTCCCACAAAATGGAACTCGCGCATGAATAGCCACAAAAGTTATACAGCTGTCATGAACAGAAACACGCAAATTCCAAAACACAAAAAAGCCTTTCTTCGTCTCCTGCGCTCGAAATCCATGCCGGAGGACATATACCATCCCATTCGTTCAACACTTCTTCCCCCCGAGATAAAACTTCCCATTTTTCTAGCTCTGCCCCACTCAACCGCCCCGAGCTCTTCTTCCTCCAAAACAGATCCTACACCAAATCTCTAAGAGACAGGCTTCACTTCCAACGCCCCATTAGCACTCTCCTTGCTCATCATTCCCTCCCCCGCGGCACCGCTTTCCCCTTTTACCAATGTAGGCAAACTGACCCCCCTCTGCTGTCCCTCCTCTTGTTGCAGTACTTCTGGACGCCACCTAACCAGCAGTTTCCTCGCACTAGGTTTTGCCCTCTCATTCTCAGTCCACATCTCCGCCAGCACATCAACCACCAACTTCCTTACCGGCGGCCGAAACATGTATAGGTAATGAAGACAGCTGCACGCTAGGTCAATGCGCTCGGGGTCTTCTGCCATTTTCTTAAGGCGGCTGAGGATATCTTTGTCGATTTGGGGAATCTCCGAGAGGAAGCGGATGATGATTTTATCCGTGTGTTCGATGTAGGGAAGTATGCCATCGAGGAAGCGGAGGGCGCAGCGGTGGTAATTACCTGGTGAGGATTTGGTGGATGTGTGTTTGTGGCCATTTGATGTGGTGGCGGAGTCTTTGTCTTCTTCACCGGTCTGGGCAAGAATCATGTCATTGTACCATTCTTCGTTGAGCCAGGAGATGGCCACGTCGATGCGGGATTTCCAGTTGTAAAGTATGTATTGGTACAGACTGTCTCTTACCATGTCGCTGATGCGCAGGCTGCCCTTGGAGTTCTTGACCGCATACTCGTCTTTGATGCCATCTTGTGGGTCGTCCAGTCCAGCACTAGCTCGTGTAGCTAGTCGGGAGAGTATAGTGACCCAGGCATCTCTGTTGTAGTCGGTAGCGGCGAGGCGGTTGAAGCCGCCCTTTGCGACCTTGCTCTTTTGGGTCTCATCTACACTGCTCAGCATGCCGAAGGCTCGATGTACGGTCATGTCACCGTACTTCTGAACGTCCTGTTCTGATAACGGAGGTGCCTCGGGCAATTTGTAGGGGGCCAAAGTGGTCGATGGTCCACCTTGTGAGGGGAAGGGGTTTGAAGGAAGACCATCGAGCTTGTTGATGAGTTGTTCAGCGTCTTCGGGTTCGAAGTCAGGCTCGTATTCCTCTTCGTCCTCTGTGGCGGCGGTTGTCGGGGGTTGTGCGGGTCGGCTTGCAGCGGTCTGCTTCAGTGTTTGATACCGGGCGCGGACGGCCTGTGTAACATTAGCAAGTGAATGGCTGGTGGGTCTCGTTGCTGTTCAGCAGCCACGGGTTTGGCAGTCTACAAGACGAGTAGACATCACATACGCTGATAGCTTGTTCGAGCTTTTGCGGGTTCACCGACTGCAGAACAGGCACCACTATCCTCAATAATTGCTCTGGATCTCTGAAGTTTTGTACGTCAAAGTTGGCAGTGCTGCCTTCAGCATTCAATGTGTATAGTTGTCGCCAGCTCACTTCGCCAGGCGGTAGCGGCTGGACAGATGGCGTACGACTCGGAGGTTCCGCGACTAATCGTTGCCTCTTCGCTTGGTCTAGACCATCTGTCGGCTCACTAGGTGCTGGTCGCTTGCGATTCGCTTCATCGAAGACTTCCACCCGTTTGCGATGCATGTGTTCCAAGAACTGCTGTATCCGTCCGTTGACGGGGTTCTCGGGATTCCTGTGGTCATGAGAATCAGCAGTATCATGAGGTAGTAAGGCAGACACACCTCTTCATGATGTTTACAAGTAGTGCTCTTGTTGTGCGCTCAATCGACTTCATGATGACCTTGTTCTTGGGCGTCATGGGTGAATTGGCGAGCTTCAGAGGGTTGAAGTTGAAGACACTGGTCAAGATCTTATTTGCAGCATTTGGTCGACGGTGAATAAGCATGCCCAAGCTGTTGAGGGTCGCAGTCACGAGCAAGCCGTCACTATTCTCTGTTAGAGGCATTCCGGCAGTCTGCGACTGTCTATCTAACCTGTGATCTCCGTTTATGATATCCAACAACCTGTCCAACAGTCCGTGTCCTTCAGCCTCGAGGCTCGCGTATGGTATCAGGGGGTGGTCGCGGGAGACGAGGGAAAGGGAGATGTCGTTTTGGTCGGCGCGCTGCAAGGCATCAGATGGATGTATATGGGTTGGAAGAGGTGTGGTGATTACCCTTGGGTCTGCCACGCCTGGTGTCTGGACCAGGACGACTTGTTGAAGAAACTTGACGCAACATATGCGCACACCTGGCGCGGCTGTGTCCATGCGACGCAAAATGTTGGTTTTGATGCCGGCCATGAGCTGCCACTTTTGCGCATCGCTGGGGTCGGAGACACTGGCACATGCAAGTATAAGAACGGGTTCGCATGAATGCAGGCATGGCATGGCATGGCATATTTGGCATGGGGACTTCTATCTGATGCGTGGGACCACTTACATGTGTTTGTAGACAAGCGGGTACACGCTCGCAGCCGCCTGGATGGCGCTCTTGATAACGCTCTTGTCCTCAACATTCTCGAGGTAAGCCTTCAGGGTAGCCAAGACAGAGGGCGCGCTCTGCTGCTTGACCTCCTGGGGCCATGTGGGCGATGCAAAGGCCTCGGCTAGGAAGTCGGCGCCCCAACGTTGTATCTCGATGCTCTGGTCTTCACTGTAGCCGATGATGGGAAGCACGCCCGGTATGATGGTAGGATAGTATCTACCGTCGCCTAACGCGAGCGACCGGGCCGACTCCATCTGCTGTATCGTCTGCGAACTCATGGCGGTGGTTGGTGGCGAGTGCACAAGAGACGAGCTGTGTATGCTTGAAGGGGTGAAGTAGTAGTGACGCTGATTCACGCGCGCAATGCAGTCAAACTAAGAGCGCGACAAAGCCCAGTATCCGCCGTCAAGGGCGCTCCCATTCCCAGCAATGCTACAACCAAAGAGAAGAGAAGGCGTGTTTGCGCGACTGGTGGTGCGACTGGTGTTTGAGACTGATGTTGCGACTGATGTTGTGGCTACAGCTGCGGGTGAGGTGAGTGACGCGGAGGGTTCGCGGCAGTGCCATGATGATCTGCGCCTGGCCGCCAAGGCCGCCTAGCGTGGTGGAACTTCACCACCACCGCGGCGACACCTTCCTCCCCCGCAGCATAGTCCGAGCCTCAGCACGCCAACATGGGATAGTAAGTCGAGCCGTGTGGAAGCGCAGAGGGTGTATGCTAATGCCGACAGCAAACCCTTCCAATCGACCTACTATGACGACCGCATGCGGGCATCGCCGGCCCTGCTGCGAGCCCGCGCGCCGTACCTGATCAAAAACACAATCACTGGCGCTGCTATCTGCACGCTGGTTATTGGAATCTGTATGGCGCCCGCCCCCTCTGCCTAGAGCACGGACTCACGTTCCGCAGATACCTACACCATCAACGCCATCTCACAGGACGAGTTCGAGGATGTCGTCGTTCCAGACAAGCCCATGGAAAGGACCGCGCAGCCACTGGGCACCACCCAAGCCCTCGAGCAGGCCGTCCAAGCACGCAAGTAGCGAACCGGGCGACCTTGTATATTGGTGTATAAGAGTGTATGAGCATTGGGCAGGCGCTATAGGAATCATTCTGGGAATACCACTTTTTTGCCATCACGAGAGATCCCGCATCTGCTTGGTACTCGGAACCAGTCGTTGACATGATTGGTCCACCAATCTCGCCTTGGATACGTGTTCGTCCCTATTCGCTGCTCATGGCTCATAGATTGATCGTCACGTATCGTGACTCGATTGCGGTATACTTCATTATTACCCATTGCCTGATCTTAGCCATCGCGACTTGGTTCAGCCAGTAGCACACACAGTCTGGCCAGCTCAAATTATCAAACTCACCGTCATAGCCGTTTTTTTTATACTGCAGCGTGACCGTCGCGACTGTGGCGACGTAAGATATGAAATATACATATCACAGCAAAGCGCCTTCAACTTGACTTTTACAAATCGCTCATTGAAAAGCATATACAACATCTCTTTCTACGTCGCATCTCTCTAATATCCATTCAACACCACACATAAAATCTACCTTTACACATTCGTCGCGTCACCAACCATGTCGCCTCCTGTTCCCCCGGACACCCGTTTTGCTCGCCCTAGCGCGAGCAGCGACAGCACCGGCAGCGTCACCCTCCACGATGCCCATGTTCAGACTGGGGATAGGTCTTCTATTCGACGTTGGTTCAACAGCATGCGCATAGCTGTCTTCCCCAAGGGCGTACAAAAGCAACTGGACACCTCAGGCGGAAAGGACTCTCAGACTCTTCAGACCTTCCCTTGCCCTGTGTCCTCTAATGAGTGTGTCGCCGACATCGAACCTGGTATCACGGTCGAACCCGCTACCGTCTCGAGGCATGTTGCCCGTGATCAACAAACTTCTTCTGTTCCTGCTTCCACTCCCGCCTTCGCTTTCGCCTCCGTTTCCGTCCCCACCAAGTTTGGTTGGTGCATGTCAGCCTATGAACAAGCAATGGCCGCGCCGACACCCTCGTCAGAGAGTACTGACCCCAAAGACCACGAAATGACGTTAGCTGAGCCAGCAAAAGGCAAACGCAATCGCCGACCTCGCCAACCGACCATGATCACTCCCGCCGTGTTGGACAAGATCGCCAAGGACAACAAGAAGCACCAGGGAGCCACGGCCGCCCGGGAGATAGAGGTCAGGAATAGCAGTATGGGAGTTTCTTCGTCGAGTTCACGTGCGAGAGGAGTTCAGGCAAGCCCGATGAGGTGGTCACAAGACTAGCATGATGGACGGGACTAGATTGATGATTGTTGGAGTGGCATGTATGTGGTCCTGAATGAATTGTGTGTGTGTGTGGCACCGACTGACTTGGCACATGGTTGATGAGGTCTTTGTCGTCACTAGACTTTGCTATGGGAGGTTTTGTGGTTTTGCATAAAGATGGTGACTTGCACTATATTGCACAAACCCATTGCGCTCTATCAGGTGGCAATCGATGAATGTAACATGTTCTAGAACTGAGGTACTGATATAGAAGGACCGAAATGTACTCTTACCATCGTTCTGCTCTACCACGTGCGCGAACCTCGTCAGATACACCACATCCTTCTACATGGTCGGCTGGAATCTCATACCCCTCCTGAATGACTACCGAGCATTCACGAGCCATTGGAGTCTAGGAATTGTACGCCTGAATCAATGCTCATCTCGTATCACTCTATCTACAATTGCGCCATTTCTTCAATGCGTCATCTACAACCTCGACCCTCCAATGTTGACCTTGCCATGCTCACACATATAAGCCACCTTCCCATTCTTCGAACCTAATCTCATCACTCCCGTCATCTGACCCATCTGTTTTCCCAAATGGACGACTTGAGTCTCCACGAAAACCTTCGAGCCTACGACAGCAGGTCTCAGAAATGTGCAGTTAACTTACGTATAATCGTCAGTCCAGTACTCTTGCGGTCTACTTTAAAAACACAGTGACTTTTTAGTTATAAGTCATACTTACTACTCGACATTAGCGAAAAACAGCTTGTGGAATAACAAAGAAGTACATACCGAGTACGAGAAACATTACCGCCATTCCAGAACCCTTCGCGACTCATAGCCGCAATGGTGATGGATGTTGTGATGTCGAAGATCAATGCGACAGCACCGCCATGGAGGTTACCACCAGAATCTGACAAGATCAGCTCATCAGTTCGCCGCAGTGGTATCATGGTACACTTGGTACGAAGGAGCTACTCACTGCCCGAAATGTGAGTAAACCTTTACCCACATGTTACACACATGGCGGTACGTTACCTGCATAGTGTCTTAGGGACGACAAAAGTAAACACTGCTGAAGCCTCTCCAGTAGGCGCAATCGTGACCTCCTCGAGATTCATTATCTTAGAGGCTAGCGAATCGTGATACTGATAACATATTAACACCATATCTCATCTGTCGAGTAGTAGAGTGACCATACATCGTAACCCTCACTTCTCGACAACTCTCCCCATTTCAGTATCTTCTGTTCCGCCGTCTTGTTATCTTGTGATTCTCCCATGATGAAAAAGAGTAAAATGTCAAGACCAGTTTGATAAAGAAAAATAAGACGTAGGAACACCAGGGGGACAACGATGACAATGTAAGGTACATAAGCCGGCGTCTCCGACAAGACCCTAACACTAACCCCATTCCAGCTACTGCGTGTTGAAAGGTTCAGCGTTCGTGATGCATGATTTCGGACCGCGCAGGGTATTGCATACTAATCGTCAATACCCAAAGGGCCGATCTCTGACTCGTCGAAGCCGCACGCAACACACGGCAGGTACAAACAGCAGATACACATAACACACCACAGAGTCACAATGGACGCCACCAGGCTCCTCTGCAGAATGTCCTCACATCGCTCTATATTGGCAAGAAGAGACCAGCTCCCTACCAAGGCAACTAATACCACATCCGACTCTGGGCGTATACGACACCGCATCACGCTCCTGCGACAATTATATTCTTCAAATCTCATCGATGTATGAGAAGAAGTTGGAATCTCCCGTTGAGGCATCCTGGACAGAATGACGCGTTGGAAAACACGAACTCGAAGTCGAACCCGACAAAACCTCTTTCGCCGAGATGGCCAGGCTAAGAGGAGAAGTAGGAAAAGGAACACTCTCCTCTTTGCACTAACACGGAAACAAGAACTCGAAGTGAACCAAAGTCGTGTTGCCAGGCAAACCAGATTAAGAACGAACGCTGCTTTTGAGGCAAATGACGAAATTGCTCTTATCGCCAAGGTGAAATCTGCCGAGGAGCAAGCAGAGAGCCTATGAGGAGAATTAGGAATGCGAGGCAGTTGTTGTAGGCAAGAAACAGGAGAAGTAATATGAGGGGATATTGTTAGGATATCTAAACCCAATTCCAGCGCTCGTATCGAAATCAGAGGGTGTGTCGCAGACAACGGAGGCCAGCAGTCACTGCTAAATGGAAACGCCACGATGCAGTTGCCAGTGCACCAGGCTCTTGATATGCTTTCGTAATCCTACCCCTGGTCAAGGCATGTATGGTTGTCCTCTTGCTTTCAAAAGGGCTGCTGGCCATCAAAACCAGAGTCCGGAAACCCCATATCCGAATCCAAAAAGCCTAGCTGGCTAGATTGAAGAACAAAGTCGCATGCGGGTTCGGCGACGAACTGTGCAAGCATATCATCGAATGCGCTTGTAAGCGTAGTATCATTGAATGACATGTCATTGGGCACAGATGCCGCATGTGGCGCTTTATCACAAGGTGAGTCAGCAACCTGATCCGCCGCGACAGGTAAAACATTCAAACATACCAACCGTCTCGAGCACATGCAGAAATCTCTCCAAACACTTCCGGCCTTTCCGGCTCATTAGGCTGCCTCTGTCAATACTTTCCAGTGTCTGCAAGCTTGATGCCACGGCTTTTCGAATGTCCAACAAGTCAGGCAATCTGTTTGGCACGGTGGAGTTGTGTTGGTAGCTCGCAAGAAGTATCGCAAACAAATGCAAAGCGGCCGTGAAGACTATCTGATGTCAATCGCGTATTGCAGAGTCTATATTTCAGAGGGAAAAACTCACCATAGTAGTTGCAGGTCCACCAGACCGCATTGTTGTCCAAATACTCTGGGCATGTTTTGGCTATGCAGGATACGATGTTGTCGAGTTCTTTCGCTGCTGCAAAGTCATTTTCCACGGCTATCGAGATTTCACCGGTGCATGGATGGAACGCGTCTTGTCCGAGCTCGTGTTCGGTGATCGAATCTAGCACTGGCCGATTGATGAGTAGAATGGTGACATGATAATGGATAGTCAGCAGGGTGCGGAAGCGGTTGTTACTGTACGATGGTGGCGACCACGTCACCATTTCTGCGTAAGTAGCCAATGCACCCGCTGATGGAAGATTTCTTTTCCACTGTTCGAGTCTATATATATGCTGTAGCCTTTGAGAAAGAATCTCTTGGATGGTACAGGGCTGTGAGGAACCGAAGTGGCGCTCTTCAGTCGCTTCGATAATTGAAGCTCTCACCTTGGTTAATTCCCTGCGTGCAAGTCAGCTTCATCTATCACAGCCCTAGGTCACTCACGCAAATTGATAAAAGTAAACTACATCGTCAGTGAGACTCGGTGGCCTCTTTTGTTCGTGTAATGCGCGTATGTGGGGTGGAAGGATCAAACGAGGTCGCCCCAACGCCATACTCAAGGTGTTATCCTGTATGATGACACCAAGCCAGACTCTTCTCAAAATCTCACAATAATGAGCATCTTTCCCTTCATAAAGGTCAGACGTATGCATTCCCATTTGAAAAGCTGCCTTGACTGCAATTGCGTGGTAGGTCCAACTTGCGATGGAGCGTTGTGTATTCTATTGGAAATTGCAGAGCAGTAGAACCGCTTGTACTTTGGACAGTAAGTCATCTCACGGCATAAGTGGAAGGATTTTCGGTCAGATATTCCCACATACCAAGTTCCAAACTGGAGCCACGAAGAGACAATCCATCGAGAAGTGCAAGCGTACGGCGGTAGAATGCCTCGGCGTCTGGAAATGACTTGGCAAGTGCCGCATGAGCAAACATGATATTCAGCAATGCCTTCTTAGCGTTTGAGCTGTTGTGGAACGATTCCAGGAGGGAACGGGCGCCATTGAAGCTGAGTGCGTATTTGTCGACATATGGCAAAACTGAACCTTGGGCTTCAAAGAAGCGATCTATCAAACCATGTAAGCCCTGATCTGTTGACGCGACAATATGACTTATATGCTGTGGATTGGTCGGCCTGTGCTGTGGGAGTGGTTCGAAGGGTCGCTTTGCAGAGTCTGAGTGTTGTTGGTCGAGGAAGCTGGCAGATGAGAGAGCAGTATTCTGTCCAGCGGACCGGCATAACATAGGTAATCTTTGCGTCAAAGCTGCAGTTAGGAGCCTGAAAAAGGCATGGTTTGAGGTGGGACCTTTTATGCTCTCATGTCAGCTGGTGGTAGTCCCAAGCGTAGTACAGCTTACCGAAATAGCCGATGTCTTGTTGCGGTGACTCGTCAAAAGCGTTAGTCGCCAACAGATCTACGGCAGACTCATCATGACTATCCAATGGCTCAGGCGCTCGCTGAAGAGGTTTGTCCGAGAATGTTGATGCCCATAGCAATTGGTCCTCCAGGTCTTTGACTCTCTTTGCGAGTTGCGCATATGTCCTGATTTGGTGTGATTAGTATGTGCAATCCCGTTGCGATTGGCGCATACGGGTTCCTTAGCTGTGGCGATGGCAGACGCTGATATTGGCACTGTAGAGATGACTCGAGGCAAGTGGAGCACGAAGGTCGTAGCCCGTCACACTGGCACTTTGTTAGATGATGTATGCGGTGGACTCAAGGGATGTGATTACGCGAGATTTCCTAGTACGACACTGCGAGCAAGCGAGAGCCACGCGTTTCCGTTTCGACACCCGATCTTGAGGCGAGGTGACGATAGAGTGCGGCGCCATCATTGAGTGACTAGCGAACTAATGGCTAGATAGAAGGATCGCGGTCCACTCGCTCCGCGGCAACCCACGGGGTCCCGCAACACGTGATCGGGTACCGAGGCTGGCCGGCGTGCGAGCCCAGCCCTTCGAGCTTCCCACCAATATCAATCATCAACGTTTGACATTAAGGACTCCATCACCATGCGTCAGGGAAGAGATGCGGTCGCGCTGTTTAGAACGCTTACACTAGAAGGGCAAATCAGCTACCGCAAAATTGCTGCCGAGTACGGTCGCGGTGGCGCAATGCTCGCTCGAAGACAC